GTACTTTTTGTATTATAATTTTATCCACTATATATATATATATTTTTTTTATTTATAACGGTTAGTATCATATATATATATATCTTTAATGCATATATATAATACCCACGCCTCATTCTTTCCTATTATTCACGCGTACGTGCGCTCACCCACATAAGTGCACGGTTATTCGACAATGTCCTCCGTGCATGCGTCTCTCTTGTGTATACGTGTGTGTTTTTCGTGTATTTACGTTTCTTTTTTCTTACCGCGTCGCCACGTGAACGTTTTTCAGATTAGATTACGCGCGCGCGCGCGCGCGTCGTCGTCGTCGTCGTCGTCGAGTTACACGGTTTCTTTGCTACGTTTCCTTCGCTCTACGGGCACATTATTATATCGTATGCTGTTTCTCGACTTTCAACAATTTACCATCTCCCTTTCCGTTTTCATTTTCCTGGGGGGGGGAGGAGGAGGGGGGATCTGCATTTACACGAAAATTCTCGTTAACAACTCGATATAGATATATGTATCACACGCAGCCAAGCGTTTGCTCTCTCCACGTACACACAAAACACACACGGGGGGTCCCGATGATTTTTGTGCAACTATCGGGGGTTTACTCGTGCCACTGTGTAAGCGAAAAAATCATTTCATCCCGTTGCTTTTAAGAAACTCGACCTGAAAATCGTTTCAAGCTTCCGAAAAGCCGCACGGTTCCGTCGAACACTTTTAATATTCTGCCGCTTATTGACGATTTTACGTAGTTAAAGTTTAGTCGTGTACTCGCTGGAGGATATATAACGTGGTCGTGAAAACCCGACCAGGAGCTGAAGCGATAACCGACAGTAAATATTAGACGTGTGGTTAGGATATTGGTCTTTAAACAATTATAGAATGCATCGAAATTGTATTTTTGTTTAATATTCTTTAGTGTATCGAGTGAAGGCATGACGTTAAAAATGCCGAATTAAGAATTGTAATTTTCTTATATTACAATATCAGTGTGTGTGCTTTCAGACCCTTGGTAGATGCAGGTATGTTGCTTGCAGAATGTTAAATCGTGTTCGACAAATACAGTGACCATCAATAACCCTGCTGTGAAAGGGCAATAGGTAGTTTCGAACGACTCGGAATGCAACCCACACGGTTTTCGGTCGCATTCCAAGTGGAGTAAGCTTAAAATGAACCCACAAATTATTGGCAGAGACTTGTATATTGCACTAGAAATGACATTCACCGCTCAAATTTCGGGCAACTTAAGCACTCCAGAAGTTACAAGGATCATTCGAGGACGCCTCGTGTGGTGCGGCCTTATATCGAGATGCCATTTAACGGTTTCATGCTCTCGAGGGATTTCGATTTCGATCACCAGATAATATTAGTCCCTTGTCAAACATCTGTAAAAATGCGACTAGCACAACCAACCCAGGAATACACACACATACACACACACACAAATACTCGGTCGAACAACAAATTTTCCGTAGCTCCGTAGTCGAAAGCTCTACTCTCTCGTTTGTGTGCCCCGTGCAATGAAGAACCAACAACCTTATCTTCAATCATCCGAACCATTTATATATCTCTCTAGTTCAACACAGCCGACATTAGAAATGTTTAAATCGAAAGTGCGGATACCAACCACCCTTGAACCGAATTGTAATTTGAGCTTCGAAACTGTCCAGCATTCGGTGTCGTCGCGAACGATTTTCGTGAACGTGTTAACTAGTGCAAAGATAAGAACAATCGTGAGCTAAAAAAAAATCATACGATTACCGTTTAAATAAAAGAAAAAGGAATATATATATTTTAAGCGAGTTAAGATTAATACCCTGTATATATTCCTTTTTCTTTTATTTAAGCGGTAATCGTATTATTTATATATATATATATATATATATATATATATATATATATATATATATAACGACAGAAATAAAGTGAATAATATGTTACGATCTAACCGAAAGAGAATTTTCCGAATGCTTCGAACTTTCGACGATTCAGGCCAGTTTCAGTAGAAACCCGAGGAATTGAACAGACTTTAGGGCGAGGGGGGAACAAAGATGTCGACTTTTAATCGGTTCAAAAGTGGAAATATCCCACACCTCGACTTATACCTCGTACGTTTTCATTCTTCCTTTCTTTTTTTTTTTTTTTTTTTTT